GAAGAAAAAGTTACAAGGGAAGCCAGATAAAAACAGTGTTGCACACATAACCACTGGGAATATACATTATCATGCCTTCCATTATACTGTAACAAGAGGTGACCTGAATGAGGATTTAGTTACTGCAAACCACCTCAGAGGCTTTCCTTCTTGTGTACGATCCTATTAGCAAATTACAATACGGATTGTTTGTCGGTTGCCTGGACCCTTGAATCCTTTCTATGCCCATGGCGGCCTGGTGTCTATTATACTGCTTTTCCCTTGCCCAGCCCCAGACCTAGATAGCTGAGGCTTTTCTTTGTATATGAGAATGTTTTACTGTTAGCTGCATGCAGTGCAGGCGCTGCTAGTGAAGGCCCTACTGCACTAGGACACCCAATTTTGACTATGCAGAAATCAAATGAAACAAGGGGTATGCCAAACTATACTAACACCAGTTAGCCTGCCACAAGCTAGTGAGGCTGGGTTCTTTCCTGCCAATTGATCCATAACAGGAAACACTTATACTACATCTTGGCCGGCATTCAGACTATTTGTGCATGGGATCGTGTGCAAAATGTAACAATTTTGTGCACGTTCATGCAAAAAGTGCATGTGGCACTTGCATTGCCATTATTTGTTAATGGGCCCCTAATGCGACAATGCACAAAGCTTATAGCTCAAACTGATGCATGAGCTTTTTTGCCACATGTAGGGTAGCCCATTGGGATGAAGGGGGTCCTATGCTTCCACACGATACATTCGTGGTTAGTGTGAATGAGCGCTAAATGTCAGAATGCATAGGACCTTAAAAATTTCAAAATGGCCTATAACTACAGGAAGTGACACCTGAAGGGCATCCTGTTGGACAGATCCTAATACTTTTGCTAATTAAAGTTAAGCCATTTTTCTTTATACATCAGCTGTGGTAAATGATGCCTTGTTACTCATTTTATTGTTATGTATGTTTTTCTAGGCAAAAAGCTACTGCTATGAGCACAATGCGGTGTATATTTTTTTTTTTTTAACTCTAAAAGGGTTGATTTTTGCTAACCCACAGTTGCTTAATATGTCGTTTTGCTTCAGAAATGCTTACTACATGGTATACTAAACACTGTTGTGGAGTATGATGCAACAAGTGTTTGCGCAGTTTGAGCATTGCAAATCCCTCATACAGCAAGAACCCTAGGTGCTTATCCATAAGAAACTTTTTATCTGCTATGGCCTGCACATAGGCATTGTAAACCTCTCCCACCAGTCCACTGTTCATGCAACTCTTCCTAAACTGGCCATACATGTTATCTTAACCCAGGCATATTAATCCCAGTTATTTTTAAAATTATGTTCATGATCTATCTCCACACACCTGTGCAGTGTTGGAGAGCATCGTGAGAAGCCCAAGTGGACAGTCAAGCTGAGGAAAGGTCATGCTTTACCTCTGCCCCCCCCCCATCATAATAACTACCTTCACAAGTGGACACCCCTTTGGCCATGCTTCTTTCTTCCCACAGGCACTTGCTATACTCCTCCAACTTTCACTTACCAAATAACACAATGGGACTGCTGTGGCTCCTTTTTTTATATTCAATGTCTATGATAAAATGTAATATTTTGCTACATTTCTGTTTGCCTTATTTTTTTCTGGCAGCAATAATAGTTTGAAATTTTGCCTGCACCTATTGTTTCAAATGGTGTCAATAATAAAGGAATAAAATAATGAAATGCCTGAATGGCGACTTACAGTTTTTCCAGAAAACAAAATTGCAGTCCTAGGAGCATTTAACAAGGATTGACTGGTAAAAATCTGGAGTGTAGGATCTTCAGGTGGTCATAAGTCCAGAGAATGATTTAACTGATCGGCAGTCTAGAGGAAGTCATGGGTTGTCATCAGTTTTAGAGGGAGTCTGATGGTCATTTGTAGGGAGGGGGTCATTAGAGTAGAAGGTGTACATAAATCTGGGTGAAGAGTTATCATTAGACTAAATAGTGTGGCCATGTGAGGGAATCTCAATCTTATCGGTCCATGTATTTATGTTCATTAGCATGCATGCACACTTTTGCAGCCAAGTAAGAAAGAGAGACTTCTACAGAGCAGTATGGTTTCTAACTCGCATGTAGAGGTGTGCATGGAAATCTGAGAACTAAACAGAGGAGGAGCTCACCTGCACAGCTCTGCATGTAAAGTTGTCATTGCTCAGGGTAGTCAAGTGCAGCTATGAAGAAGGGTAGGGTCGGACCGGAGCAGACAAAGGAGCAGGAGTTGTCATGTTGGTGACCAGTAGCTCATGCATGTATTTGTATATCCATGGATTTTGCCTTCCACCTTTAGGCCTTGTTCACACCAAATGCAGAGCAGATCTGCATGAGTTTCTGCACACGCAGTGCAGTGGGTTGTGCTGCGTTTGATGCATTCCGGGCCGTTTTTGGTAAAAAAAAAAAAGTTTAAAATGGGTTTGTTTTTTTTTAGTTTAAAATGGGCTTTCAGTGTGTTCCAGGCGTTTGCATGCATTCCAGAGCAGGTCCAGAGCAGGTAAAATAGGGCCTGCTGCAGTTTTTTACCTGCTCTGGAACTGAACGCTGCAATGTGAACTGGAGCTAAACATACCATTGGAATACATTGAATGCAGTTTTGCTCTGGTCTGTAACTGCTCTGCACCTGCTCCTCTGTGTGAACAAGGCCTTACAGCTATTCAGTGTTTTAATTGGATAGCAATAAAATCCTTATCAAATACAAAAAGGTTCATTTAAAGGTTTACAAATTGCCCAGTCAGCAGAAAATATAACAGTGGTATAATTAAACTTTATTTTTGGGCTCTGCGCTACAAAGCATTAAGCAATCTATATACATGTTATTCTGTAAAGCTAACAAATCAACTGGAAGAACCAGTCTTAATGTAGTCATTTAGATGCAAACTGGGTGAGGCCAGTGTATATATACATGTGGATGGCATTCATCTGAAAGTTCAGGAACTGGATAATAAGAATGCCTATACCAAAGTTTCATGACCACATGTAACTTCCCCTGCTGAGAGACACTGAGGGACATTTATTTATATTCAACACTAAATAAAAATTAAATATGTTCAACATTTAGTTAGGTAAATATAAAGTACTGAATATGTGCATTTTTATATAACAGCCAGTAGGTGGAATTCTAGGTTCATGTCCACATGTTTACCTATCTATTCCTAATTGTTGTGTTGAAAAAGCCATTTGTCTACAGAAGAATCTTGAATGTCTACACACAGTTAAATGGTTAAGAGCTGTGGCTCATCCCAGTCCCCTTCCTGATTTCTCTGTTCAGAAATTTCAATCAAGCTGGCCATACACCTTACAATTATCTGCAAATTTTCTCTGGTCAGATGGAAAAAGTGCAACTGATTCCTCCATCTATGCTAATCTGTTTGGATAGAGGAATGTCCCACTGGGCAAGCTTCAGTATCTTGCTAGTTGGCCCCGCTGGCTCTCAGAATACCTGAGCAATGCCAGCATTCAATCAGACTGTTCAGGTATTTTGGGAGCCAGCGGGGCAGACTAACAAGATACTGAAGCTTGGCCCAGGTGAAGATTACTCCATCCACACAGTTAAGTGTAGATGGAGGAATCTGTTCCACCTTTTCCATCTGACCACAAAAAATCTGCAGATAATTGTAAGGTGTATGGCCAGCTTTAGGCTGTGTTTTCTCTTTAAAAACCCAATAGAGTTCTGTCACACCAGTGTCATGGGTGCTCCCTATATTTAATGTTAATTTTTAAAATAAAGATTTTACATAAACTGTGTCAAAAATAAAAACACACATTTAAAATGTATAAAATTAACAGAAAATATGGCTATATTTTAAATTTTTTAAAGTGGACTTTTTCTTGAGCTATGTTGAAATTTTACAGTGGCAATTTATTCATGCATAGAAATGAGCAGGGACTTAGCCCCCTAAAGGTGCCCATACACTTTACAACCATCGCAAGACCTTAGTCTTGCGATGGTTGTAAAGTAATTTAAAAAACGTACGATCTGCCCATCTTGGACAGGCAGATCGTACTTGAGATCATCGGAAGCCCGCCCCTCAGGAAGCCCGCCCGCAATGCTGAACAGGCAGTGTGCGCGTGCGCACACCGGCCCGTTCGCCATTTGTCTCCCGAGCATCATTCAAACCAGACAAAAATCGTAAGATTTTCGGCTGGTTTTCTAGCATGCTCCTTAGACAAAAGACGTGCGACCGTACAGTAGAAACGGTCGCACGCCTTCATTCACACTGCACGATTCACGTACGATCGCGGGATTTCACGCGATTCTCGTACGAGAATCGCGCAGTGTGTGGGCACCTTTACAAACGGGTGCCTTCAATTCTCTGCAGTGATCCCCTGCTGATCGGAGCAGTTCGGAATAGATGTGACTGTTGCGACATCCACGTTTGTCTAGTTTTTCCAAACAAACAAGCAAACTGGATTTACCAGATCCGTGTGTCCATTTACATCAGACTACCCCTGATCTGCTATGACCAGGTCCATCAAAACGGAACTCCATTTGGTTTTCCAGACATGGCTGGGGTCAGACGTAATCAGATGTAAACGGACACGTGTCCGTTTAGATCTGGCCGCCCATAGATTAACATCAGGCTTCTGATCAGATTCACCTGATAAACTGACAGGTGAACCTGATTGGAATGCCCCTGTAAAAGGGCTCACTTTCACACAATTTTCTTCCCTTCAGCACTCAAATGTGGTATGAACAATTGTTTCTTATATGCCCTTGTGGAGACCTGCACAGCCCAGAGGCAGAGAAACACAGGTCTCTGTACATAGTGATAACGAGTATGGCTTGTAAAGTGATGTGACATATACTATATGATAAATGTTTTAGGATGTGATTAAGTCGATGTTCTCTATACCATGTCATAGCAGCTCCATATGTGTCAGTAACAATGTACAATGAATGGGGAGAGGCTAGTGTGGTAACTTGTACTAGTCCTGTCTTGTTATTGAGTAACACAACACTCCTGGGTTGGGCATATCATCTGCAATTTCTTCACGTCAGGATGTTTCACACTTCCACCTAGCTGCTGACATGCTGTGAGAGGAGCTTGCTTCATCTTTTACAACTTTCTTGATTATTTTTTTTTTTCCTTTTGATGACCAGTTGAGGAGATCCGTAGAACTGGAAGAAGATCTCACTGGGAAACGGAAGATTTGCTGTGGACATGGGGATTTTATACTCTGAGGTAGGTGTGATTTTAAAGGAAAGCAGAGCACAGTTTCAGCTATTATTACATAGTTACATAGTACTTGAGGTTGAATAAATACATAAGTCCAAGTCCAACCTATTGCGTGTATGCATTTGTTTGAGCGTGTGTGTGTGTGTGTGTGTGTGTATATATGAGTCCATGTGTGATTTTGCTCTTAGCAGTACCTGTACCCCTGTATGTTATGGTCTCCCAGGAAATCGTTCAGGAGTTTATTGAATGATTCCACACTCTTAGCTGAAATCACTTCCTGCGGCAGCTAGTTCCAGACCTTAACCGCTCTAACTGTGAAGAACCCCTTGCGCCCTGTGTGTTTGAAATTTTTTTTTCCACCAATTTTTGGCTGTGCCCTCCTGGTCTTTGTTACGGAGCTAACCGTAAACAGTTTGTTAATGTTGCTGTCACCCTTGAATAGTTTATACAGGAAAAGCATGTCCCCCCTTAATCTCCTAACCTCCAACGAGAACATATTTAATTTTAACAACCTTGTTTCATAGTTCAGGTCCTCGAACCCCTTAATGAGTTTGGTTGCCCTCCTCTGGACTTTTTTCCAGCTCAAGGACATTTTTTCTAAGTATCGGTGACCAAAACTGGACCGCATACTCCAGATGTGGCCGAACCAGTGATCTGTAAAGTGTCAAAATTATAGACTTGTCCCTGCAATACATTCCCTTCTTAATGCAAGACAGGACTCTACCTGCTTTGTTTACAGCAGCCTGGCACTGCGAGCTGTTCTTCAATCTGCGGTCTATAATGACCCCCAAATTCTTCCCCGTCTCCGACTTCCCCAGTGGCACACCCATAAGTGTATAGTCCATTTGCCTATTTTTAACTCCAAGGTGCATTGCCTTACATTTATCTACATTGAACTTCATCTGCTATACAGTTGCCCACTACCCGATTTTATCCAGGTCCTCCTGTAATGTTATAATGTCTAAATCTGTGCCTACTACCCTCCCAATTTTCGTATAATCAGCAAACACTGAGACATGGCTACTCACTCCCTCCCCGATATCATTAATAAATAGGTTAAAAAGCATGGGACCTAGCACAGAACTCTGGGGCACGCCACTCATGACCTCAGCCTGGTCTGGAAAGGTGCCATTAACTGATACTCTTTTATGTTGGAGGGATGTGCTGGTTGTACTTTCTATCTATTGAGCTTTAAGTAATAAACAGTACTAAAGCCTCCTGCACACGGGTGTCTAGGAATTTTATTTAATGACGTTATCTGCATTTGTCCGCATGTAATTATGCATGATATGATTCCATGCGGAATGGTAGAGATGCTTGTCCCTGATGCAGAGCTTGCGTCCAATCATCTCTCTCAATCCAGGAATATGTGCGATTACATGTGGACAGCCATGGACACTGTGCCCATTTACGTCAATGACAGGCTGACAGCGGCCGCATCTGTCCGTGGTTGTACAGACCCCCCTGGGATTCCTGCCACAAGAATCCCCAGACGCCCATCTGCACAAGGCCTTTTATAATAACTGTTTATCATGACTTCACTAATAACAATCTTCTTGGTCACTCTATCAGTATGTAGAGCTAAAAAAATATTATTTTTGTTTTAGTTTTGGAGTGTTTGGAGTTTTGAAACCCCTGGCAGGTTTTTATTGCTGTACCTAGTAAGGAGGGTCACCTCTTTCTGTCCTTGTGTTCATTGTCCGATATGGAGACAGAAAGAGGAAGGGAAATCCAATATTTTACACTTGTCGCCTGAACAGGAATAGTGAGAAATTGTTTCAGGGCTTGTTCACACTTTAGCAGCGTCCTCCTTCTTGTACACTTGGCTGCAAACAGTGCAGATGTAAACAGTGCACATGCACTGAATACAACGCATCCCACTATTTACTTATTTCTTTACAACTTGGAATGTCACAAAGTGAAATTTCATTAATTTTCTTCACAGCAGAGCGCTGCGATGCGCCTCAACACACGGTGGTGAAAAACAAAATACTGCATGGCCATACTTTTTTTTTTCAGTGCACACCACTAGAACTGAACACAAAGCACACAAGGCGGTTTGCTTTATCTGTGCTTTAGAACTGCGCTAGGCAAGGGTGTTCATCACAGACTAAGGCTGGGCACACACCTTACAACTATCGCAAGACTTTTGTCTTGCGATGGTTGTAAGGTAATTAAAAAAACGTACGATCTGCCTATCTTGGACAGGCAGATGGTACTTGCGATGATCGCAAGCCTGCCCCGCTGAGGGGCGGGCTTCCGATGACCGCAATGCCGAACGGGCAGTGTGCGCTTGCGCACACCGGCCCGTCCGGCTTTTATCTTACGAACATGCTACACACCCGCCGAAAATCGTACGATTCTCGGTGGGTTTTCAAACATGTTTGTAAGATAAGTCGTGCGACCTTACAGTAGTAGAGGTCGCACGGCTTCCACCCACCTTACGGTAATCATACGATCGCGGGATTACCCGCGATTATGGTACGATTATCGCAAGGTGTGTGGGCACCTTAATATAGCCATCCTATTTCATTGTAGATCTTTCTTTTCCTCTTCCTGGTGGGTTTCTGGGATAGGAAGTGAAGGGCAATCTCCCCAACAGGAAAAATGAACTGACAGTGGTTTCAACCACTCCCTCCACTAGCCAAAACTCCATTTAAAAAAAAAAAAAAAAAGGTTTTGCGTATACATATGCTTTAAAAAAGCATGTGCCGATGGAAGTGTAATATTAACTTGTAATATTAACTTGTAGAAGCAGGTATTCTGTTAAGTTTAATCAGTGACAGATCTGTGTCACTTTTCTTCAGGGCACAGGAAAGGCAAAAAGTTTTGAATGACGTGTGTGGCTTTACCCCAGTTGTAACATATTTATTCCTGAACTATTCTCTTGTTTTTCTTTAACAAAGCCTTTAAAAATGAGGCTTCTTAAATGCATAATGTATCCCCCTTCCAATACCTGGTGTCACTTCAGCAGAGAGTGAACAACCATCTGGTTATTATGTGAGATAGGAAATACTGCAACAAGTGACCTTGATTTGATATTTAAAGAAATACCTACTCCAGCCAGTTGGAAATTTGTCATGCAAGTATCCTTTCATCTCTGCTATCAGCGCACATGTATCTTCTTCTATTAGAAATTCCCCCCATTAGATCTTTGCTAATTGGAGGCACTGCCAGGACTATTAAAGACCCAGGAACTCTAATCAGTGAAAGGTTGCTGCATGCATGCACGCAGTGACAAATCGTGGCTGCGGTTTATCATCATATAGTATAATAGTACTGAGATTTCCAGCCTGCATGCAATAGCCCCTGCTCTCATAAGCTGCAATTGTGCTATTCATAAAATGTGCTTCAAACACTGAGACACAAGTCACTTATCTACTTATCTTAATGGAAGGTGTGACCTAAGCAATGCGGAAACTAAGCTAAAGACTACAATGCAGTCATATCCTGGGATTTAGAGCTCTTTTAAAACTAGCTGCCTCAATATTACGACTCTAATGCACTTACATTAAATGCGTTATCACCAATATTAGATGCATTGAGTTAAGAAATGCATTAATTTTCAACTGATGAGAGCTATTATTTTACAGGGGACCGTCCAGGGAATGGTTCTGATATAAGTTCATGGTCGCTACCATGAGTTTATAGCAGAACAGTAGAAGGCACCTCCCTAAGGCTTACTGATGTGACCAGCTGGAAGCAGTTGTGTTCCGCCATAAGCCTTATGTCTGTGGCAGCGAAAGGGTTAACTCTTGCAGCGCAAGGGGGGTATTTTTTTTGTATAAGCTAGCATTAGGATCTTGCTAAAAAAAACAAATCAAGAAAGATGTGGGCGTACAGTCGTTTATCAGCCCCTTAAGTCACATTTCTTTGTGGGGATTGCAGGAATTGTTCTTGTATTATAAGAGTCAGCTGAGACAGGGGAATTATGATCCCAGTAATGTGCTTCTTCACTTGTCAGATTAGTAATCTGGTTCACAAGATGTGGGTTCAACTGCTGATAGACAAAAGATGCAATCCAAAACAATCGGACACAATCTGCACATACAGAGTTTTTATGTAAGACATAAGACATTAGTTCCATGGTGTCTGCTGATGATGCATGTGTTTGTGTTTTTTTTGTTTTTTTTATTTCACATATGACAGGCCTTTTCAGCAAAGACGCGTCCTATCAATAAAATGAAGATAGAAGATGTCACCAGCACACCGAATGTGTCCAAATAAAACGTCTTTATTGATGCATAGACATATTGTCACAAGTATGGCAACATTTCAGGGCCACGCAGGGTCCCTTCATTGGGATCAATATGTAGCCACTTGGGGAAGGGGGGAGGAGTCCGGTGATGTCAATGTCCGTGACGTCACCGGATCTCCGACGGGACTCCTAGAAGACCCGGAAGCCAGCGGAGAGGTGAGTGTTTTCATTACTGATTAAAATTCTTTTGATCGATCAAAAATTTTAACTATTAATCGAGTAATCGTTAATTTCCGCAGCCCTAATATGAACCTGATGAAGGGACCCCGAGCAGATCTGAAACGTTGCCATCCTTGTGACAATATGTCTATATATCGATAAAGACCTTTTATTTGGATACATTTCTTTGTTGTGTTCTATCTTCATTTTATAGATGAACGCTTCTTTGCTGAAAATACCTGCCATCCGCAGTCCTCCAAGGAGTGTACTTTTTAGGAGTGCGGTGGGTCACAGATTGGACTATCTATAGAATGGTTTGCAATATTAATTTTCAATTAACATAAAACATTTTGATTGAAATCTATAATCTGCTGTATCTATGCAAGTAAAGTAAACGTACTGTGTATTATAATTTGTGATGGATGGAAATAAGAGACTCTAGGAATGCAGCGGGGCTTTGGGACCATTTTTGAATTGATGATTTTACACAAGAACATGGCCTCCTTTGTAGTTTGTGAGAGCTCAGTATTCTGTCCAATGTCCATTTAGCTGGCTGTAGATACTAGTTTTGTAGTATGTGTTGGACACA